TTAAATGTAGTCATTTTCTACTCAGCCTTTACTTGTTTCAAACCTTCATGAGTATCACACTTCTGCTGAACACAAAAGAAGATCATTTTAGGAAAGCCGGAAACCCATAACCATTGACCTCCATAGCATTTGTTTTTTCCTACCATGGAAGTAAATGGTTAAAGGTTCCCAGCATTCTTCAAAATATCTTCTTTTGTGTTCAAAAGATGCAAGAAACTCACAAACCCACATAAAAAAAGGCTAAATGGTGAGTTTATTTTAATTTTGGGGTGAACTATCCTTTTAACATAGAATCACAGGTGTCAAAGGATCAAACACACACTGAACAGGTGCTCCAGGACAAAAAGCACCTCCAGGGTGATACAATCAGACAACCCAACACCACTTCAAAACTAAAGTAATCTAAAGTGACATTAAATAAAGGCCTGAGACATATAGTCTGCTCGCATCTAAACGAGAGAGGACAGAGAACCATCTAACAGATGGCACTGGCAACCACATCAATGGGATGCATTATTCACAAGTGACTTTTGCCAAAGCTTCAATGTCCGTCCAGTTGCGGACCGCCGACTTCAGTGTCTCATATGTTGTCTCGTAATGAACTCATGGCGTAGAGTAACGGGATTACCAGACGTCCGTTTGACTGACACTGGCTGATGGCCACTGGAGATTCAGGTTTATACCACCACAGCACATGGGAGGAAAACAGACAAAAGCAAGACCCTAAAATGCAGCCCCTCCCCTCACGGGACTGATATCTGACAAGCAAGTGCTGCGTGTGCGTGGTGAAATACCTGCTGTGTTCCTATACAGCGTGACACTTTAACCACAGCAGCATTACTGACAGCAAAGAGATCAGGTAAGAACTGAAATATACTGACTTCTATGAAAAACTATACAAGCCACATAGTTTTATTACTTAAAAATATGTTGGTGTAGATTGTAGCTTTGTGAGTGAATTATATTTTGTAGACAAACTTGAAAGTAGAAACTATGAATGATTAGTTTTAGAGATATTTGCATTCCGACAATGCTAACTGTGATAGCAGCATTACTGACAGCAAAGAGATCAGGTAAGAACTGAAATATTCTAATTTGTGCCAAAACTATACAAGCCACATTGTTTTATAATTTAAATATATATATATTTTTATGTTGGTGTAGATTGTAGCTCTCTAATGTAACTCTTGTAACTCTAATGGCAGCAATACTGACAGCAAAGAGATCAAGTAAAAACTGAAATATACTGTCCTGTGTCAAAACTATATATGCCACATAGTTTTATTATTCAAATATATTTATATTTCGGAGACAAACTTAAAAGTAAAATTATGAATGATTGGTGTGAGAGAAATTTGCATTCTGACAATGCTAACTCTAATGGCAGCATTACTGACAGCAAAGAGAATAGGTAAGAACTGAAATATACTGACCTGTGTCAAAACTATATAAGCCACAAAGTTTTATTATTTAAATATATATATTTTTTATGTTGGTGTAGTTTGTAGCTTTGTGACTGTATTATATTCTAGAGACAAACTTGAAAGTAGAAACTATGAATGATTTGTTTGAGAGATTTTTACATTCTGACAATGCTAACTGTAATGGCAGCATCACTGACAGCAAAGAGATCAAGTAAGAACTGAAATATACTAATTTGTGTCAAAACTATACAAGCCACATTGTTTTATTATTTAAATATATATTTTTATGTTGGTGTAGATTGTAGCTTTGCAACTGTATGACAGTTTGGAGACAGAAATTAAAAGTAGAAACCATGAATGATTGGTTTGAGAGATATTTGCATTCTGACAATGCTAACTGTAATGGCAGCATTACTGACAGCAAAGAGATCAGGTAAGAACAACTGACATGTTTAAAACTATAAAAGCACACATTGTTTTGTTATTCAAAAAAATGTTGGTGTAGATTGTAACTTTGCTACTATTATATTTTGAAGACAAACTTGAAAGTAGAAACTATGAATAATTGTTTTGAGAGACATTTGCATTCTGACAATGCTAACTCTAAAGGCAGCAATACTGACAGCAAATATTTTATTCAATTCAATTCATCTTTATTTCTATAGCACTTTAAAAAAAGTAGATTGTGTCAAAGCAGCTTAACAGAGAAGTTCTAGTTAATTGAAACCGTGTCAGTCCAGTTTTTTTAAAGTTGAAGTTCAGTTTAGTTTAATTTTCACTGCTGAAAGTCCAAACGCTGAAGTGCAGGCAAACACTAAAATATACTGACTGACTAATGTGAAAACTGTATAAGTTAGAACGTCTATGTTAAGCTGCTTTGACACAATCTAGATTGTAAAAGCGCTATAGAAATAAAAATTAATTGAATGATTAGTTTGAGAAATATTTGCTATCAGACTATAATGTCATACAAAAACGATCTTTCTGACAGCATTACTGCAGGCAGAAGTTTGCCTAAAAACACTGACTATAGCAGACTAGCAGTTTGTTTTATAAGATCAATTTTGCACTCTTTGTCGGAGAAGCAGAGAATTGAAAATGTTCCAGGGATTTCCAGCCTGTGGCTACATGTTCACATTCACAAAGGCTTCGAGCTCTGGACTGCTTGCTCTGCACTGCTTGTGTGTCCACAATAATACATCATTGTTTTAGGTTTTTGTCATTGGCTAAACTAAGTTAGCTTGTATAATGTCAGTTTTTATGGTACTACTCCTGTGGACATGTAAAACCATGCTTTGTTTGGTATTTGGACACGTACTAAAGCTTTTAATTGTATTTAAATGCCATGTACACTGTATTTTGTTACATGGTAAAGTATGGTAAAGTATAAGTAACCATGGTTCATCATTCATCCAAAACCATAGAATCAACGCAGTGCTTTTTGTAAGGCTAGGTAGGCTACCTGAGGACATGAGGATGTGTTTTGTCTAATTTGTAGATATAACACTATTCAGTTCTAAATATGTAGTTATTAGCATAGAAAGAAACGTTGTTTATATGTTAATGTAATGTAGAAGAAGCGCGCAGCTGTCAAATTCACCGAATTATTTTTTTAGCTTACAATGTTGGCATGACATTAACATGCAGGTTGATATGACAAATATGCTGTTCTTACCCAGAAACTCTTATTTTCCAGTGAGATTAAGATGCACTTTGCTAACTTTTTTTGCGGAGCCCTCCAACCGGTAACATGCTTCTACGGTGCGCGAGGAGGACCAAATAAGTTGTAAAGGCGATACGTTAATCGAACGCCTATGAATATTTCTTGACAAGTGTACTTTGTACATTTATC